AGTCTTTCTTTTGAGAGAGAAAAAAATGAATGAAAACCTTAATTAATTTGGGTCGGCCGAAGTTACGTAAATTATGATCATCGGTAGGCCCTCAAGATTTGCAATGGTAAGGCATTTTAGTATTTTCTCCCAGGGGTATTGAAACAAATCCGGTTTGATAAAATATTGGAGGGAGTTTGTTTTAATGAAAAGTGTTGGTGTTTAAGACAAAAACACTCTGATTATTTATTTAGAGCCTTGTTTCTTACTTTTTTGGGTTGTTTTTTGCAACCTTTGGAGATTAATTATAGACGATTAATTGCTTGTGAGATTCTAAGTTGAAGAAACTCAGATATTTACAAATTTATGTTACGCTGTTTGATAAAAAAAATCTATTAAATATATTTGTCGTTTTAAATTGATTACAGAATTTATTACTAGTAATATAAATCTATAATCAAGTCCAAATAATAAGTAAAACCAACGTACACACAGACACAAAATGAATCAAAGATAAACAACAATTTAAGGCCCAAAAATAAAAGGATAAGGATATTTAAATAATAACTCGTTTCAATTTACATACGGCCTTTTTGAGAGAGTCGTGCGCACTTAGGCAGTTAGGTACCATTCGTATAATATGCACATATTTAAAAAGGTGCTGTCTCATCTCTTACAATTAGTGGTAGTCTTTGTTTAAGGCCTTTCCCCCTCCCTGAGGATTTATGCAGCCTAGTATAAAGTTTTGTTATAATAGATATATTTTGTTGTTTTTCAATTTAGTATTAACTAGAATGGATTGTCAAATTCTTAGTATAGGTATGAATTTTGAAATCGTAGACATGATACATAACATAACATCATACCTTTTATCCCCTAAAGGGTAGGTAGAGGTGTAAATTATGGCACTTAAAACCACTGTACAATGTAACACCCACTTTTCACTATTTACGTTATGAGTCCCATGTAATAGGGGTGAGCCTATTGCTATATACTGAGCACAATTCTAGACTCCGTGTTACAGCTAAGTTTTTTTTATAAAACCCAGTAATATTTTGCTCGACCCGGGAATCGAACCTGAGACCCCTTGCCCGGCAGTTGCATTTGTGAACACTCGGCACGAGGAATGTAGTTAAAAACACAACAATGTTTTTAATTCACTCCTAGATCGATCTCAGACCAGATCACAGTAAATAACAAATATTTATATACCACTAGAGAGTATCGTGCTTTCACAGCCCTCATATAATAATAGTGTCAATATTGATATAGTTTAATAGTTAATAATACATCGTATACGGGAGTGTCAATATGTACAGTAGCCAGGTTTATATGTAATTAAGCTGATTATTTGCCAATTATATTACGAATGGAGGCTATTACGGAATAATGAGATACACGTGTTAAATGGACGTGGAGTTTAGAATGTGGGAATAATGGAATAAAGCATTTAGATACATATTACATTACATAACATCACGCCTTTTATCCCCGAAGGTGTACATTATGACACTGTACAATATATCACCCACTTTCCACTATTTATGTTATGAGTCTACTGCCATATACCGGGCACATTTCCAGACTCCGTGCTACTACTGAGAATTTTTTAAAAACCCAGTAATTATTTGCCCGACCCGGGAATCGAACCCGAGACCCAATGCTCGGCAGCCGCAATTGCGACCACTCGGCCAATGACGCATTTACATACATTTTTATCAAAAGTTGACAAATCTGTATATAAAAATGAATCACTTTTTCCCTTGGTCACGGGAAATGATGAACAGTGAATGGCTGGACCGAATTTACTAATTATTTTTGGTTGTATTCGTTATTATTAGGAGATGGTTCTTAAGACAGACGAAATCGGAATTGCGCTTACGTCGTCGTGGGCAGAAGCTAGTTATTGATAAAAATGACAATATGACAAAAGAGAATGAAGAAGAATGTGAACACCAAAGAGTTCTATAAAAATAGTATTTTTTCTCAGTGACGTTGTGATTCCCCACTATTCGACCGGTTTTGATTTTTTTATCTATTTTATAATATCCTTAACTCTACTCTTTATAAATCATGGATAATGTGTATTGATACGTCATCATCTTAACAGGATTACAACTCACATACCTAAATACATAAGTAGATACTTAAAAAAAATCAAAGAAGTGGTCACCATGTTGCTTCTAATAAAACCAGACGAGTTTCTGAAAAACCAATTTGTGCAGAAATGCTTAAATGATTAAGATATCCAGACTACTAACTACATTCTGATAAATTAGACCCACAAGATATTTCTACGAAGCGTGACGAATCCGATATGAAATTTGTTCCTTCACCATTTTATTTTTCCTTGAAATAAAGTGACGATGGTTTAATAAAACTACAATCTTGTGACACCTTACTATAACAATGACTCAGCATTAAAAATGAACCTTATAACTTTGATCAGAAGCTCTTTAGTCTTTTAGCACGAGAGAATTATTCAAACTATCTGCACTGTCTAAGACTTTGCGTGGACAACAAAATTGAGACAGTAGTTCGAACAACACAAAGTTTATTATTGAATGCAGGAAATAGTTAGCGAGGGCACTATGTAACATCCTAATTAGGTATAATGGTTGACATCTTTATCGTTTTCAAGGTGAATCTAACCGCAAAATTTAAACTGAGAAGCTCCAATACTTGGAAGATAGCTATAAAATGGAATCTAAACAACTTAATTTTATTGGAGATTGTAAAAATCCTTGTGTTTAGGTGTCGCCGTTAATAAGGCTTATTATGAAAATATTTGTTCCTACAGCCGGTAGGTAAAACCGCAAAATTTTAGCGCGGTAGGTTGTGGCCTTTATCGGTTTTATCCCTTTTTGATTGGAATCGATAAAATTGGGTTTCGGACACCCAGTGCGAGGTGTCAGTTTTTATCGATTGCTAATTATGTGGAGTTGTTGATGTCTTAATCGTATTGTTGGATCTCACCGCAGGATTGTACGCGGTAGGTCAATTGGCGAGGTGGTGACGCCGATGGATGAGTCAGAGTGCATAGGTACCTCATGAATGTTCGAAGTTTAAACTGTCAAACACCAAGCGGTCACCGGTGACCGCAACCTATTGTTCTATAATTGTGTCTACAAAACCGGTACTCGACGAGTTAATGCATAAGTAGTTAAATGTATTATCTGTAGGTAGAAATGTAATTTAGACCACATAAATTGTTTATAATATTATTGCTAGTGGTTTACAGATCCTAAATTCTTAGGGGATTTAAAATATGAATTTACCTACCTACTTTACAGGAAAATTAATATTATGTATCTAATCTATACTTTCAGTTACAAATAGTTGTTCGTAATGTTAAACATTTAAATCTCTTTTCAAGTACCAATTGTTTCATTAATCAGAACACGACAGATTAATCGTTAATGTACTTTAATCACATCAATTTTCATTTATAGCGTGGTGTATTAATTTCTTCCACATAAAATTTGAATTAGATTCGTTGCTGCTTTTATTACATCGCTTAGCATATTAGTGACAGCATTCATAATATAATTCGGTAGCTTACACGAAGTGTTACGATGTATGGTGGCTATTGAATAAATTATTATGAAATCCATGGAATTTACGTGTTAAAGTTGTATATGTTGTGGTTTTATGAAGAAAATTGGTGATTTGGAAATAGACAAAGATACATTACCTACAAGCATGCAAGTACGCTTCAACTCGAAAATTACTAATATTAATATTGGGCATTATAAAGTCTAGACATATGATGTAAAACTTATTGTACCAAATATCACATATTTAGCAGATGACTTTGAAACTACTTAATCAACAAGTTATGATGACAAATTTTGAGAAAATGACAAAATCCAAAACGAAGTTCACAAAATAGATGATACAGCAACAGTATCTCAAATTAAGATACAACAGCAAATATCAAAAGCTAATTCAAATTCAAACAAAGATTAGCATACAAGAATGAATAAACCACACACAACTCCTAATTTTCAAGTCATTACCTTACCGCTATTTAATGCAAGGAAACAAGGTGAAGAGAAAGCTATAGTTCCACAGCCAGATGTGAATATCACAATGTTAGTATTTCGAAAGAGATACAGTTAAGTCCCTTAGATTTAGAGTTCTCCAATGTTTACTGACAAACTTACAAAACTGTGTACTGAGAATTTTAATTTCTTAGTTTCTCGGAAAAGACAAAGCGATAGGAAGGGATTAAGAAATATTTTCGACGGAAGTTTGTAGTGTTCTTACTGTTTGTTGGGAATTGTTTTTGGGAAAGACTTTTTTGAAATGCTATTTCGCTTAAAACGTTTCGAGTAAGAATTTTGTTTTGATTACTGTATCTATAATGTTTTCTTTTCTAGTATAAGAGGAGACTTTCTGTATTTTTTGTTTGAAGATAGGCTACGAATCTTATTTAAACATTTCATACATATCTACATATCTAACTATTTTATCACAATAAACTTTTCAATCCAAAATATTATTATGTTCATAGACATAACTTATTGACACAAACACAAATAGTTGATCAAGATAAAGTTGAAGAAACATGAAATGAAATATGACTTAATCCCAAAGACGCAAGTACTCACATAATTATGACAAATATTTACTAAACTGATAAAGCAAGTCAAGCTGGATATTCATGACTAAAACAAAACTAAACCATCAGATTAGATAAACCGTACCGTCAAACGTTGGAAATATTCATATAAAATATTCAAGATTGTAAGAGGGAATTTTTAAAGAGCTCTATGTTAATCCGGGTCGCTTAGACCGTTTTTATTAGCCACACAGATAAGGATTAATTAAAAATGGTATATTAAGAGGTCTGACTTCTTAATTGTGGAACAAAGTGTGAAGATAAAAGAGATAAGGAAGATTAGTGAAACTAAATATCCTAGGAATATAATCAAATTGCCTACTAAAGATATCTCGAAGAATTTAGAAGGAACATTTTATAGTTACAATAATGTATAAAGGATTATTGAAAAACTCACTGGTTCCGTGTCGCAAGTCTCCAAATCTGGAATAGGATCGTCCCCGCAATAGTACTCCGCTTGCAGGAACGGTGGTCGAGGCGGTGGCGGCAACAGGAACTCCGGTGGAGGTCCAAGACAGTCGCACTCCGTCAAATCCGTGGGTTCTATCTCCCACATCGCGTAATCTAACTTAACACTACTCACAACCTTCTCACTGATATCACTATCACTTAAATAACCACTAGTATCACGTTTTTCGCGTTTCACTTCATTTGAAGTCCTCTCTTTAATTAAATTCGCTATGTAAAGTTCGTCGTCCACGTCGCTCCATACATTTTTTCTAACCTCCTCATCTTCTAATGTATCTTCTAGTGAATCAGTTGCCTCCGCTATAACACTATCGCTGAGTCTGTCTGCGTACTCTGAGTTTTTGTTTTCTGCAACTGTACTTCCAAGAACATTTTGCTTTTCTTTCTCACTGTCAGCATTCAAGTCACGAGCTTGCTTGTATTTGTCGTTTCTATTGAAACCATTTTTATATGTCCAAACAGCGTACGACGACGCTTTAATTGGACTCCTGTTGTATCTTTCGGCCATACGCAGTCTTATTTCAAGTTATCTGCAACAATAAAAAATATATTTATTTATAACGAACACTTAGATCGAAAGGCCATTACTGGCTAAACCAATTTCTTATCTGACGGACAACGTATCGATTTTACAGTGGTATCAAACTACTTATTATTTAATAGAAGAGCTAACACCTCATTTTGTATAACAAAGCAGCCGCAATTAGAACCTACCATTGGTGCGAGTACAATGGGTGAGGGGCTAGTATCGATATCATCGGGTGCTGCGTTCTCTGGTTATTTTAATTTATTTTTTATCGCATCAAATTGGATGGACGGGTTTCTAGCTATGCACTCGGTATTCCGCCGCTATCACGATGGAACCGTCAGTGAGGCGGTTTCGAAAGTTTAAAGTTCATCGTTTTTTGATATTTAATTTTGATCAAACTATGGTTGAGTGTAGGCGAATAATTGGATTTTGATTTCTTATTTTGTTCCACGGAAAACGGCGGTAGAAAGAAAGTTAAAAATACGTGATTTATAGTGAACTCGGGATTGGCTTCCGGAACAAATTAATACTTGACACTAATATTAATTGTGCTTATAATCAAACAGTAAAGAAGTGAGAGTTTTGTTTTAAGAAAATAAACATTAAAGAAAACTATAAGCACGGCATCACCAGTTAGAATTGGCATGATGGATATCAAAAGTAACCAAATCGAACTAATTCATAAATTATTCGTTTGAAATCGTTAGAATATCACCGTTTTTGTTTTTTAACAATGATAATTATATTTTCAAAAAGGTTACAAAAGTAAATAAATAAAAGTATTACAGCTCCTTGACGAACGCACAAAACCGTGGGCAGAACTAACAAACAAAAACAAAACCTTTCTATAAACACTCGTATGTACTTTGTAATATTTTTCGATAGAGATGTGCCATGAGTACGCAATTATGCATGCGTAAGGCGTTTCTAAGGAGGTACCGCAAGATTGCGAGGTCGTAGGGTCAACAGCGTCAGATAACCCGCAGGTACCAGTGAATAAAATATAGAGAGGTGTTATGGCATACAAAATAGTTTTAGGTACGTGCAATTTATGCATATTTAAATTACCATTGGAATCGTCAATGGGTATCTAGGAAGAATAATTTTGCTGCATTTTTTAGTGCTGCGGTTATAGGGTTGTTTTAGATATAAATGGGGAAAGAAATACATGTACAGTTTCGGTGTATTGTCTTTTTTATATTTAATGGGCCGTCGTTTCACCATTATCTCGCCTGGTGGTAACTAATAAGCGATGATGCGGTCTATTTTGAATGGTCTTTAATCAGGATCCATGGGTAAGCATTAAATTTTCTCATTCAATACTTGGATATCTATTACTAAAATGTACGTTTCTTTTTCTTGTAACGCACAGAGTATTGCTTCACATCTGTTGAATGTTGTTATGTTTGTAGTTTTTAAAATAAAAATTACCAAAATACTTCTGCTTTCTTTTTTGCTATTGATGTTATCTTTCATCGTATATTGCTAAAGTATTACTAACATCATCAATATAAAATTCTATTCAAATCATTATGATTTTAACTCCATTGTCTTTCTCATTTTTTGTTTCTTTATCCAATTCAAATGTCTTATAACTTTCATTTCTGTCCATAACAGTACTATTGTAAGAAATAGCTATTAAGAATACGATATCTTTACACCTTGCCTGTCCATTACACATTAAAACATCATTTTCTTTTTGCATATTCATTGCGATCTATCAATGTACGCCATTGAGGTCGTAATCTTGGGTACTCGATGTCTCATTAACATTTGGCGCGCTCAGTGGCCACTCGATAGCTGTCAGAGGAAGTTTGACAGCGATACAATACTCCACGAGAGCCCTTAAGCAACTTAACGAACCCATTCTGTAGATTTTCTCACGTGAATTATTATTGCTAGTGGATAACGGTCTGCGAGGGTCGCATGTGTCGATCGATCTGGTTTGAGTGCATGAGCGAAATAAATAGCTGTGCAAATAGGTTTGAGTCGATTCAAGTTCTATTTGTATTTGTGAATTTAAATTATAGCTGCAGGCAGCTGTTTTGATTTAAATTCTAATTATGTTTGTGTTTATTAAAGTATTGGTTTAAAACACGTGTTTACTATTTTAATTATTGTATGATTGTGTGAAGATAATTAAAACGTAATATCTCTAAACCCAACACATAAACATAGTAGAAGCTTATGTAAAAAACCAATTATGCTATTAATTAACATCTTCAGTCTTCTTAATGTTAACGCAGCTAATCACACAAATACGGTTAAAAGTACTTTGCACATTAAAAGAAACTATAATAAGGTAGGACAAGGCTGTCATAATAAACAACAAGAATATAAACTAGTTCTTTGAAAGCTAGACAATATGAAGCTAGAAAGGCATTCAGCAAAACACATCAAGTCCAGGAAAACAATATAAGAAAGCCATTTTAGTTCTTAACCGTTTATTATGAGCGTTGTAATATCTTACTGCCCACACTAACTGGTTTATTACAGCTTCGTAATAAATCTATCGAATTTCAAGCTTTGCTTCAAGATAAGTTGCTTTCATTGCTTTTATTTATTTGTGGTTTAATTTTCTTTATAAGGTAAGCAATTTAAGGCATTTTGTAGTGGTTCTGTGGTCAGTTTATTAGATGTGATTTTTTTCTGATCAAGAATAATTCTTATAGCATACTATAAGACCAAAATGCAAGACGAAAAATATTATCCTCAATTCCAAAGCATCGGTATCCTGCTATTGGAAATGGTGAAAAATTCTTTAAGCTCTTTCTGTCTCATTATGGAATCTAATACAAACCAAATACCTTTCAATTAGTGTAATTAATTTGACATTGACCTTTTGTCTTTAAACCTTCTGTGACCATTCAACTATATACAGGCAATCTCTAATAACAAAATCATGACGAAAAATTCAATTTGCGACGTTACACGCAGAACCATTCCATTTCTTTGAAGAGCGAGCTAGTGGTTCTAACGGGTTCATATTACGTGTCAGGTCCAAGGTCGAACCCAAGTAACTGCTAGTATTACCGTAGCTTCACTTATTTTTCTTTGTAATTTAGTGTTCGAAAATCGAACATGTTATTGATAGAACATTTTCAACATAGATATATTTCTGTAGATCATATAAAACGTACCTATTACTGGTTACGCAAAGTAAGCCTCATGTCAGATGAGTTAGTATTACTCCAGAGGTCGGTGCTATAACTGTGAACTTCACAACAATCTAATGCCTTGTACTTTGTGGAACAAAAACTCCTTACTAGCGGTTTTGTTTTCGACCAAAGAATAACTACTTACTTTACTTTATACGAGAACAACGTTAATTTCGTACAATTTTAAAGAATAGGTAACATTGTTCACAGTTGTCGATTCTCTAGTAAAATATTTAACCCGTTTACCTGATATTGACATACAAGTAATACAAAGTTCCAAGTTCTAATACGCATTTCCGTTACTTAAGGAATAATGTAAACAAAAAGTCCTGAGAACAAACGATTTCAAGATAGTTTTGTTATGGTGTTAAAGTAAGTAAATTGAAGTACCATTTAGAGTAAGTCATTGATTTTGGTATTCATTTCCGGGAAGTTGTGGTTCTGGTTTTCTTTTAACACGTTTTCGTGGACCACAAAGGTTACTGTTGATGCTTTTGGGAATATTTTGGATCTTACTTTCCTTTCTACACATAACATAACATAACATCACGCCTTTTATCCTTAGAGGGGCTAGACAAAGGTGCACATTACTGCACTTAATGCCATTGTACAATTTATAACTAGATACTTTTCACTATTTATGTAATGAGTCTCATATAATAGGGGGTGAGCCTATTATCATATACAAGGCACAAATTGCATTTTTCGTGCTACTACTGAGAAATTAAAAAAAAAACACAAATGCTTCGCTCGAACTGGGAATCGCACCTGAGACCCATTGCCCGGTAGTCACACTTGCGACCACTCGGCCTACGAGGCAGTATTTCTTTTCTATTCCTAGAATTTTTTGTTAGGTATATTGCAGAAATAAAGGTAGGTCTTGGGTATAATATTTCTAAGTTGTGGTAATAATTATTTTGAACCCCTAAAGAGATTAGATTTGTGATTTTATATTGTTGGGTGACACTACTGCCGAACGCAAAAACAATCCACGACATTAAATTTTTACTAAGACTTACAAAGTTTGTTATAATGAAGAATTTTTGCAATTCTTCATACAAAGTAAAGAAGAATTTACCTATGTGTCATGAAGTCAGCAGTCTTTATCTCACCACCCAAGTTGAAAGTGAAAAAAATGAACGTAAAGAAATGAGTCACAACACAAGACACTAAAGAGAATTCTTAAATGATGAGTCGGGTCTCCAACAATGTTAGGATATTTCTCCTAATAGAAGATCTTTTTGATCGACTGTCTAGCACGTATAGTATGCATCTCAAAAACTGGAGACAAATTTCCATATTATTATTGTCTTCTCAGTCCTAAAGATGACATAACTTTTTGGGTCAGATATGCTTTTTTATGGAATACGAGGCAAATGAGCAGACGTATCACCTGATGGTAAGCGATCAGCGCTGCCCATGGACACCCGCAACACAAGAGGAGTCACAGGTCTTTTAAAAAGGAATACGTCTGAAAGTAGTATTGGTTATCGCTGGCTTGCATTAGAATGTATGTGGTCACTATCATCATTATCATCACCATCTTCAACAGCTTATAAATGCCCATTAAGCAACTTCTGTTCTCACACGGAGGATTGAGCATTAATCACCACGCTTGTTCAATGTGGATTGACCGATTTATACTTATAATTAGAAATTTACAAGTCCAGGTTTCCTCACGATGTTTTCCTTCACCGTTTGTAAATAATCTTAAGAACTTCATATAACTTAGAAAAGTCACGTTGGTACTCGCCGTTGGTAGATTTCCATCTTGCACTCTCATACATGAGAAACGAACGTCTTAAGCCTCCGGGCCACGTCACCACGGTGATCACTATGGAGT